GAACAGCAGGTGCCTGCCAACCCCCAGCCCTGCCCCTTCCCCGTCAGCCCTGCCCCCACCTCTCCTGTAGTTGGGTCAGGTTCTCGTCAAAGGGTGCGCCATTCCCTGCCAGCTGCTGCTGCCGTTTCCAAATCTGGATCCTCTTCAGCACCAGGGCCTGGGCAGCCTCCAGCTCCCCAACAGTCTCCTGCAGCACCGTGGCCAGGGCCTGCGGGCACAAAGGGCCTGAGCAAGGACCCAGTTCCTCACCTAGCTCCTGATGAAAGGACTATCTTTCTCCCTCTCTGGCATTCCCTGACCCCACCTCAGTCTGCCTTTCTAAGGTCTGATCTCCATGACTTCATAGATTTGAGATCCATCAAAGATTGCACTTTGAGCTCAGTCTCCACCTCTCAGTCCATTACTCACCTCACTTGGCCCAGTCCCATTGGCAGGAGTTTCTATCAAGCTGTGCAGAGACACTGAGGGTAGGGGCAGAAATCAGGGGTACAGAACGATTTGAGGTTCAGTCACAGTTGCGGCCTAAGAGGAAATCACTCCCACACGCTCCCCCCAACCCTCTTAGGGCTCCAGGCCCAGGTCCCCACCTTGGCCAGCCTCAGCCTCCTGCTTCAGGGCTTCTCGGAGAAGGCAGGTTTCCCCCACTCGGTGACGCAGCCTCTGCAGGGCTGTGCTAAACTTGAGTTCCTCCTGCTTCCAGTGGAAGGACATTGGCAGGTGGCGGAACTGCACAGGAGGGACAGATGTCAACAACTGTAACAGTCTGCCCTAGCTGGTGTGACTCACTGGGTACTGCATCGGCCTGTGCACTGAAGGGTTGCCGGTTCGATTCCCGGTCAAGGGCAGGTACCTAGGTTGCAGGTGTGCATGTGGGAGGCAACTAATTGATGTGTCTTTTTCAAATTAATGTCTCTCTCTTTCTCCCTCCCTCCCTCCTCCTACTTTCTCTAAACATTAACGGAAAAAATATCCTCAGTGAGGATTAACAAAAGCACACACACACACACACACACACACACACACACACAGAGCTGTAACACTTTGCCCATTCCTCTCTGCTGGGCCTCCACTCCGTAAAGGGGTGCCTGCTGCCATGCTCTGCAGAAAAGAGAGACCACTTCCCTTGTCTCCCTTTTGACAGCTATTCCTGACCCTTTGGAATCTCCCAAAGATAACACCTCTCTCCTTGCTCCTTGCTCTCCTCCCAGGCCTCTCTACCCCCAAGCCCTCATCTGAAGTTTCCCTGAGCTAGGCTTGGGGTTCACTCTGACCCTAGGAGCCTCCTTTAGTCATCCTGGGCCTAGAACACTGAGCCTTGCCTGAAGTTCAAATTCCTTCTAGTTTCTCATGGTTCAAGCCAAAGTTCCAGGGAATTGAGTTGGGGTGGGAGATGGGGTGTCACAATACCTGCTCCATGACAGCTTTTTTCTCCCCTTGAAGTATTTGTCTGAAAATGGCCACCAGCTTCAGGGGGTCCCTCTGATATATGCTCTATAGAAATGAAGCATGGTAGACAGAGTTAGCCTGGCTCTTACCATGTCAGTCTGCCCTTCTAATCCTCCACCTCAATTCACACACACACACACACACACACACACACACACTGAAGGCAACACAGCTGTAGACTCCAGAAGTTTTCCTGCATTTGCATGCTTTTAAAATCAAATTTGCATGCTGGCGTACAGCTAACCATAGGAACACCAATTTGTTTCCAGCGTCCAACCAATTTTCTTACAGCAGCCAGTGCTCACCCCAGCTCCACCCCAGCTCCACCCCAGCCCCACTCCGGCCTTGTTGCCGCCCCCTCCTGCCCCCACCTCCAGGGTGCTGATGTGCTGCAAGATGGCGCTCCCCTCCCCCTGCTTTCTGGCTGAGGTCTGAAGATGCTGGACAGTGGCAGAAAGTAGGGTGCTGGCCATGTTGCAGCAGAAGGCATCTGAGCTGACCAGGAACTCCCTGTGGGAAGATCAGGATGAGGAGGCCTTGACTCAGGGCTTCATCAGCTCTACTGACCCTCCACCCCACAGCAAACAGCTCAGTGGCTCCTTCCTTTATTATTATTATTTTTAATATATTTTTTATTGATTTCTACAGAGAGGAAGGGAGAGGGATAGAGAGCCAGAAACATCGATGAGAGAGAAACACCAATCAGCTGCCTCCCACCCCACCCCCCACTGGGAATGTGCCCACAACCAAGGCACATGCCCTTGACCGGAATCGAACCCGGGACCCTCGAGTCCACAGGCCGATGCTCTATCCACTGAGCCAAATCAGCTAGGGCTCCTTCCTCTATTATTCTCTCCATCCAAGCCCTCTGCAGCCCTCATCATGCCTCATTTCCCAATCTTCCAGCTGTGATAGGAAATGCCCTTGCCCCATCCCTGACCTCCCTCCTCTTTGGTTCAGCCACCTAAAGGGTAGGGGATTCCAGCTGTCAACATGCATAGTTTGGCTAATGCAACCAGACTCCCTGCTAAATCTAGGTTCCCAGAACATCAAATAATGAGTCCCAAGTCCTGCAATGGTGCAGAGAAAATCTAATGAAAGGAAAAGTGGGTGAGGAAGGACCTGGAGGACTAACATGGGGGCAGCAGGGACTCACCAGGGCTGTTTCTCCAGCCAGTCACCCAGGAGATGCCGCAGGTGTTGGGGAAAGTCGACGTAGAGCCGCTGCAGTTTTTCTGGGGGGAGCTGGGAAACCAACCCCCATAGAGACATGATCTGGGGTTTGGAGGGCATCTGGAGGAAAGGAACAGGCCACTCTGAGAAGTGCCCAAGGAATGTGGCCGACATCCTGGGTCAGCCAGGGACCTCCTGTAGATAGCTCTCCCAGAGATCACCCCCCCACCCCATCACTCAGAGCCAGACCACCTCAAACCAGGGACATTTTTGGTCAGTGTCTGAGACAAGGCGAATCCTTCAATGGTAGAAGGGCAATGGAGCTGTAGGCGGAGGAGTGGGGAGACAGGAGAGATCGGGTATTAGGGAAAGCTCTCTGAGAGGAGGCAGAGGACTTAGGTTGCAGCTCTAGACCTGGCTCTGGTTCTGTGGGCAAGGAACTTCCTCTCCGTGGGCCTCAATCTTCTCATCTATAAAATATGATGCTTGGAGAGGGGCAGAACTTTCCAAACTCTTTAAAGGAATAGTTTTAATATGTGTAATCCGAATTATGTAACAGGTATAAAATCAGAGGTTTTTGGGTTAATCCTCACCTGAGGACATTTTTTCCCCCGATGATTTTTAGAGAGTGGAAGGGAGAGAAAGAGGCACACAGAGAGAAACATCAGTGTGAGAGAGACACACCAATTGGTAGACTTTGCCTTCGCACATGCCCTGACTAGGGCCGGGGATGAGGTATATGCCTTTGACCAGAATCAAACCCGGGACCCTCAGTCTTCAGGTCAACACTCTTTCCACTGAGCCAAACTGGCAAGGGCAAAATTGGAGTTTTGAAAGTAAGTGTGGTAGGCCTGGAACTCTACTGCTTCTTCCTGTCTCTCCCCACCCCCTGACCCCAAATATGACCCTGAGAAACCCCTCAAAATTCCAGGGTTCCATGAGATAATTTGAAAACTAGCCAACAGGATAATGAAGAAGAGGATGGTGGAGTAATAATAGCTGCCAATTACTAAGCACTCACTATATATGAGGCATTGCTCATTATCTCATTAGAATCTCACAACATTTTTTTAAATATGTAATTATCTCCTTTCATAGATGAAGAACCCATTCTCTTATATGCATACTAGAGGCCCGGTGCACAGAACTGTGCACTCGAGGGGAGGGGTCCCTTGGCCTGGCCTGCGCCCTCTTGCAGTCCAGGAGACCTCAGGGGATGTCCGACTGATGGGTTTGGGCCTGGGGAGTGGGCCTAAGCCTGTCAGTCGGACATCATTAGCGTTGCTTTGGAGGCAAAGGGACTCCCGTCACTGCTGCTGCGCTTGCCAGCCATGAGCCCAGCTTCTGGCTGAGCAGTGCTACCCTTGTGGGAGCGCACTGACCACCAGTGGGCAGCTCCTGCATTGAGTGTCTGTCCCCTAGTGGTCAGTGCACATCACAGCAAGCAGTTGTTCTGCCTGTTTGGTCGATTTGCATATTAGCCTTTTATTATATAGGAATAGAGGCCCGGTGCACGAAATTCATGCGGGGAGGGGGGAGGGTCCTTCAACTCAGCCTGCACCCTCTCGCAATCGAGGACCCCTCAGAGGATGTCCGACTGCTGGTCCAACTGCCATTTAGGCTTGATCCTGCAGGGATCCCTGTGGGATCGGGCCTAAACCAGCAGTTGGACATCCCTCTTGCAATCTGGGACTGCTGGCTCCTAACCCCTCGCCTGCCTGCCTGATTGCCCCTAACCACTCACCTGCCTGCTTGATCACCCCTAACTGCTCACCTGCCTGCCTAACTGCCCCTAACTGCTCACCTGTTTGCCTGATCACCCCTAATCACTCTGCCTGCCTGCCCGATTGCCCCTAACCACTCACCTGCCCGCTTGATCAACCCTAACTGCTCACCTGCCTGCCTGACTGCCCCTAACCGCCTCTGCCTCAGCCCCCACTGCCATGGCTTTGTCCAGAAGGATGTCCCGAATGATGTCCAGAAGATTGTTCAGCTGTCTGGTCTAATTAGCATATTATGTTTTTATTACTATAGATATGCATAGTCCATGGACAGACAATAGTGTGGGGAAGGTCTGGGGAGGGGGTGGGAGCAGCGTTGAGGGGGTCAATGGGCAGGAAAAAAAGAGGACATCTGTAATACTTTCAACAATAATTTTAAAAAGAAAGAAACCAAGTCTTAAGGAGGTTCTCTAACTGTCCAAGGCCACTCAGCAAGCACATTTGGAATCAGTATTTGAATCCAAGTGGGGATTAACTATCACACTGTACTATTAGGATCCCTTCCAGACCCAAATCCCATCATCCTGAGGGGCAGGGCTGAGGGAGGAAGGTTGAAGAAGGGAGATGGAGCAAAGAGGAAAGTAGAGAGAACTCAGGGAGAAAGTGGGAGAATGGAGCAAAGTGGTGTTGATAAGCCTGGAATAAAGGGTTTAAAAGAGTGGGAGAGGATGCTAGAACCTTGGCTAGAAGGCCAAGGACAGAGAAGAAAAGAGAGGAAAGGAGGAGATGAGAGGAGGGGAGATGTTTGTGGCCTCTTTTCTGAGCGGGCTGCAGGGTAGGGTAAGTATACCCGTAGTTTCCCAGGGGTCTCTCAGTTCATGTTTTTGTAATGTCCTTGTCCCAGAGATGAGGGAGAAGAAGGGGATGGAAACTCCCTGGGTCTCCCCCAGCTCAGTAACCCCAAATCTTCCCGTTGTGCTTTTAGCGTCTCCCTTCTCCCAGGACTCCCCCAAGAGAGAGAGAGCAGAGGAGCCTCTTCTCTGGAGATTCCTGCTTCAAGACCCTCCACCCAACCCCAGTCCCTCTCCTCCCCCAGCTCTATTTTCCCAAAAGTATAATCCTCTTGCCCTCCTGTCCCTAAGCCCTCCACACCCTCCCCTCTTTTCTTCCCAAAGCAGAGTCCCCCCCCACCCCCCACTCCCCTACCCCTCTTGCTCAGGGTCCTGCAATAGGCCCTTCTCTATTCACCCTTTGGGGTGGGGCACATTTGGTCTGTTTCAAATCCAAGGGAAGACTCTATTCCTTCTCTCTTCCTCTCATGTTTCCCACGGAGCTAAGACTCTGACCCTCTACCCCTACCCTATTGAGAATGGAGGTGATTCCTAAGTCATGGACCGGCCTCCTGGCCTGGTCCTGGCTTCAAATCTCCCCTACTCCATCCTCAGACATCAGGAGGCCACACTTCTCCCCACTCGGACAAGAGCAAGGTGGGTGGACTGGCTGGTCAGCAGGGGAGCACCATCTGTGTAAAGCCCCCTGGAGACTGTCAGGGACCCAGGAGTCATGGCCTGAGGGATGGGGCCAATATTCCCTTCCAAACCGGAAAGGAAAACCCGTTGTCCAGGATTCTCATCAGCTGCTTCGTGGCCTACATCTGTTCTCCTCAACCCTACATCCCCTAGTCCTCTGGTCACCGGACCACAGGATCAAAAGTCAAAAAAGCGTCTCTGAGTTGCCCAATGTGTGTATGTGGCGGTGGGGGCGGGGAGGGGGAGGGAGGCGGAGCCAGTTCAGCACGAGGAAGGTTAACCCCGCGCCGCCGGGAAATCTCGGCGTCTACAGCAGCCAAGCGTGGAGCAGTTTTGAGGGGGAAATTCCCCCTCCTCTGGGGCACCATGAGGTCTATATCTCGGGCTCGCTCACCCCCCAGTTCCTGGACAGGAACCTTCATGGGAATAAAGGACAGGGGTTCCTCAAGGACCCACCGGCATCAACCTTCCAGGGAGGGGCAGCTACTTCCCCCCACACACGCAGCGGGCAGGAGGACACCACCTGGACCTCCTTCCCCAGAGTTTACAGTCCCCGGGAGATGGAAAAAGTGTCCCCAGGCGGGAGGTAGGGGTGCTGGGCCTGTGCCCATTCCAGATTCATCTGAGATTCGAAACTGCCCAGACCCAGTACCACCAGCGACCAACACCAGCTGAAACAGCTTCCGGGGGACCATCCACCCTGCCAAGGGGACGGTCCTCAGATGCCCCGGGCTCACCCGCCCCCCGCCACTCACACACACTGGTCGTCAGAGGCCCCCCACCCTCCCTTCCTCGGAGGCATCCCCTCACCTTGGCAACCTCTCTGCTGTCTTCTCCCTCTCTCGGCAGGCACTGCAAGGCCATGGGTCTGTAGCTCTGTCCAGCGAGTTCAGGGCTGGCCTTGCTAGCACCCGCCCTCCACCACCACCACTACCAAAAAGAAAACACACACATACACACACACACACACACACACACACTCCTCTCCCCCTCGTCCTTCCTCCTCAGTGTAAGCAGTGGCTGCCCCAGCCTGCTGTTTCCGGCTTCTCTGTCTACCCAGGTCCCTCCCTGGAGCTCTGACGACACAGAGAAGAGAAAGTAGGCTGGAGGAGGAAGAGGAAGAAAGTGGGTGCGTGTGTGTACCTCCTGTGCCAAGTGGGGGGGGAGACAGGACTGCTGGGGCTTGGGGCCCTTGGGCCTGGCTGGAGGGGAGACGGACCCCCCACTTACTCTGTTCCCTCACAAGTGATAAACTTTTCTCAAGAAAGTCACCTAATATCAAGCAGAGACATGCGGCCCCAAACTGCCTCTCCCGTTCTCAGACTTTCACAGGGGCTCCGGCGCTGGGGCTCACGAGGGACGGGGCACCCCGGCGCCTCTGGAAAAGCCAGTCCCTCTGGGCTCTGCACTCCCTCCAGTGGAGGACCCTGAAGAGCAGCAGGGGAGCTGGCGTTGGCAGGAACGCCCAGGTCCCCCTCCCTTTCTGCCAGGGAACGCCTTAGAGGTCGCGTGACCACTGATGGGAGGAAATGGGGGTGGGGGTGGGTGGGGAGAAGAGACCCCAAGGTCAGAATTCTGGAAAACTCGAGAGTGCCTCCGACTGCCCCCTCCTCACAGGGCGCTACTCCTCAGACCCTGGTGGGAGAGGGCGTGGGCTGGAGTTGGTGCCTGCAGATTCCCAAGGGACAAGTTGGAATACGAATCTGCTGTGCAGCCTCGAGAAGTTCCTGTTTCTGGAGTAAACACCGAGACACACCCAGAAACAAACACACACGAACAACTCCCTGGCCACAGACCACACACACATGCGTACACACATGCAGGCAGGTTCACAGACGTGTCAGCCACATACAGCCACAGGAGACACGCACGCAAGGCTTGCTCAGCTTCTGAGTCATCATCAGAAGTAATGGACAATTTCTGCTGCTTTTGCTGGAGGAGGAGCTGGAGGAGGTCAAGAGACCTAGAGAGGCCTTCAGGCCCCCAAACCTGAGAGACAGTGGTGTGTGGAAAGGATGGTCCCTGGGGGATCGGGAGGTGGGAGGAAGTTTCTACTCTCCCCTCCCTCCCACACCCCTTCCTAAACAGGGCAGGGCCGAGGGGCCAAAGCTAGGCCTATGCTGCCCCCTGGTGTCTGAACTGATACCTAGAATTCAGCTCCATGTGGATGAGCACGTGAGTTCAAGAACTCAGAATGTGTGGGCTCTGCCAGGCAACAGAGGGTAGCGGTGAAGAACTGGGAGTCTGGAAACAGACTGCTTGGGTTCAGATCTTGCCAACGCTGCTAACTGCACAACTCTGGGCAATTTAATCTTTGTGCTTCAGTTTTGTCATCTGTAAAATGGAACAAATAATACTCTTAACTCATGAGGTTGTAAGAGTAAAATGTGATAAAACATGTGAGGGCTTAGAAGAGGGCCTGGCACATGGTAAACATTAGGCAGGCCCTAACCGGTTTGGCTCAGTGGATAGAGCGTCAGCCTGCGGACTGAAGGGTTCCAGGTTCGATTCCGGTCAAGGGCATGTACCTTGGTTGCAGGCACATCTCCAGTAGGGGGTGTGCAGGAGGCAGCTGATTGATGTTTCTCTCTCATCGATGATTCTAACTCTCTATCCCTCTCCCTTCTTCTCTGTAAAAATCAATAAAAAATATATTTAAAAAAATTAGGCACTATTTGTTTGGCCCAGGATAAACCATACATGAGGAAGGCAGCAGGGCCTCCATCCTACACAGGGGTCCCTGGTTTAGGGGTCATATTAGCTCCACTAAGACAAAACCTATTGGAGGTATGTGTATTTATGTGTTTATTGTGTCTGGAAGGCAGTGAATTGAAAAGGAGGGGGAGCAGGGGTGGAATCTGTCCTAAGGTCACGGTGTGGGCACATAGGCACTCACAGCACACATATGTATGTGCTCCCAGCTGCCCACTCTGCCTGCAGACATCCACAGACAGTGGCTGAATTCAGGCTTCATCAACTAAGGGTCTCAGAAGGTCCGAGTTCCCCCGAACTTTTGCAAGAGAAGGGGAAGAGTGAATGCAGTCTCTAACTTTGCCTCTTTTGGGGGGTAGGAAGGTAAGGAGCAAATACTGGTAGGAAAACAGTATTTACTGTCACACTCTCCAAATGATTCCACTGAGGGGGATGCTGTGATGACATGGAGAGAACCCAGAATTTAGAAGCTAATCGGCTTGGGTCTGATTCCACGTTGTGTCTACCCCTTGAATAGAGACAATAGTTACATCTACTTTACATGGGCTGGGCTAGGGAGGTGTTTAGGATGCAACATTTAAGGAGGCACTCATCTTCAGGTTGTGCAATTGCAGGGTTGGCTAGACTTTCAGTAATGATACTCCCACTTGCATGACCCTGAGAGCGAGTGCCACACTTGCTACACCCTCCCCCAGGTCCTACCACCCATCAGGTGGCTATTTAGATTGCACAAAACAAAGCACAGGAAAAAAGAAGTTTGTGGTCAGTTGCAACCCAGCTGAGTCACAAAATCAATTTGGTGAGTGTATTAATTCGCTGGGGCTGCCGTCACAGAACACCACAAACAGGTGGCTGAAATGACAGAAATGTATGGTCTCACAGCACTAAAGGCTGCAAGTCCCCGATCCAGGTGTTGGGAGGGTGGGTCTCTTCAGAGGGCTGTGAGAGGGAACCTGCTCCAGGTCTCTCCCCTGGGCTTGTAGATGGCCGTCTTCATGTTCCCGGGGTGCTCTCCCTGTACGTGAGTCTAAATTTGCCCTGTTTGCTAAGGACACCCGTTGGATTGGATTAGGACCCAACCTAATGACCTCATTTCAATGTGATTACGTCTGTGAAGACCGTATCTCCAAATAAGGTCCCATCCTGAGGTACTGGGGGTACTTCATTAGAATATGAATTTTCAAGGGACATAGGAATTCAACATATTAACATATGAATGTTCAAGAGACACGGTTCAGTCCATAACAGTGAACGTTGATGACCACCACTTTTTAAAAAAACAAAGTGGAGTAGAATAGAAAATACCAGAATGTATCACACAGAGACGGAAGGATGAGTAGTGTTTACTACACTTGATCTTAGCCACGAGGCCGAGAAGCGATGAGGATAAGTGGTGTTTAGTGAACCTTGTTTGTTTTATATATGCATCTGAGTTCTAGGTCTTGATGGAAAAGACATTTCAGTGCAGGTTGTGATTTTCCTTTTTGAGCATCATTTGGATGCTGGTTACCACCACAAATCTCTTTGCATTGCTTTTTATTTTTATTTATTTATTTTTAAAAACATTTTTATTGAATTGAGAGAGGAAGGGAGAGGGAGAGAAGGATAGGAACATCGATGATGAGAAAGAATCATTGTTTGACTGCCTCCTGCATGCTCTACACTGGGGATCGAGCCTGCAACTGGGGCATGTGCCCTTGACCGGAATCGAACCCGGGACCCTTCAGTCCATAGGCTGATGCTCTATCCACTGAGCCAAACCTGGTAGGGCTGCATTGCTTTTTAATTATTTTATGGGTACATTCTTCTCTGACAAGAACATAAGCTCCTGGAGGACAGGGGATCATCTCATCTTGTAAACGCTGCTGTGTAGCTAGAGAAGACAACATTTTTTCTTGCCAGTAAAAACAAGGCCTACAGTTTAGTGAGTGTTTACTGTGTACCTGGCACTGGGCTGAGTGTTTTACATACACTCTCTTACATAAGGACTAAACATAATGATGATGGCAGGAGTTCAGTACATTACACAGACAACACGAGTGGGTGCCATGTTCAGGTGCGCTGGACAGCAGGCTGGGATGTGTGGAGGACTGAAGGATAAAAGGAAAAGGTTACAGAAGAAATGTGGGAAGCGGCGGTGGGCCCTTAGCCAGTTCTGTCTCTCAGACTTTGGCCATTGTCCCAAAATTTCCATCCACCTCAATACCAACCCACTACCTAGATTAGAGGAAACAGAGGCCCTCAGTTGGAAACTCCCTCCGCTTCCAGCTCCCAACCAACAGACATGCTCATCAGTACCTGTGCCCTCCCTCAAGCTCAGAGGAGAGGATACGCCTGCCCCTGCCCAAGGCATACTCCTCCACCTGTGCTCAGGGCCCCTCCCTTCTGCTTCCCCAAGTACAGTTCCATTCATTGTGTCCTCGATCCTCCAAATCTGCAACGTCTCATTTCTAATTATTACTGCATTTTACCTTCAGCATTTAAACATGTTCAAATCTCTCCCACCTAAAAAAAAAAGTATAGTAAGCAAATAGAACAAATCTGCCCAGAATCTATGTCCAGTTGATTCAACAAAAATTTGTTCGGTGTCTGTTTGTAGACTCTTAAAGCTGAGAGGAGGAGTCCGATTAGTTAACAGTGATACTATAGGATAGTCTGGACTATGACTCTAGTGAAACACATGGTGCCGTGGGAGTACATAGGAGGGGCACCTAGACTAAGTAGAGAATAGGGGAGACCAGGAAGGTCTTCCTGGAGGTGGTGATGCCCCAACTAAATCTTGAAGGAAAATAGGAGTTATTTAGGCAAAGAACAAGAGAAGAGTTAAACCAGGAAGATGATTTAGCATATGCAAAAGCATGGATACTGTGGGAGCATAGTACCTTCTGGAAATGGGTAGTAGTCAGGAATGGGGAGCATTAGAGGACTTAGGGTAGGTAATTAAGATGATGGGATTTAGTAGAGAGACCTCCGTAGCTGTAATGTAGAGGAGGATTTAAAGTGTAAGTCTGGCCGAAACCGGTTTGGCTCAGTGGATAGAGCGTCGGCCTGCGGACTGAAAGGTCCCGGGTTCGATTCCGGTCAAGGGCATGTACCTGGGTTGTGGGCACATCCCCAGTAGGAGATGTGCAGGAGGCAGCTGATCTATGTTTCTCTCCCATCGATGTTTCTAACTCTCTATCTCTCTCCCTTCCTCTCTGTAAAAAATCAATAAAATATATTTTTTTAAAAAAGTGTAAGTCTGAAGGCAGGAGAACAGTTCAGATGGAGGAGACCATTTAGTGAAGGAATAAAGGTGAAGCAGTGAGGAACAGAGGCTGGTTTAAGAAGAGAAGTAAAGACATGTGGGGCCAGTGGGTAAGTAAAGAATAGAGTC